CAGCAATAGCACTCGATCGCACGACATTCCTGTCCAAGCCTGTAGTATGTGATTTCTTCACACTTCCTTTGCCTTTTATTGATAAAGTCCATTTACACTTCTGTAGAAATTGATAGAAATTTCTACAGAAGCATGTAGAAATTCATTGAAACTGTTTGAAGATACAGTTTTTGATAAGACATAAAGAAGATGGTATAAAAAATGTGAAACAGGTGATTTTGACCTTTTTGATAATTTATGTTCTGGGTGATATATATATATATATATATATATATATATATATATATATATATATATATATATATATATATATATATATATATATATATATATATATATATATATATATATATATATATATATATATATATATTGTCACTTAAAATGAAAATGAGCAAAGAAACTTCTAGCATCATATTACAGTGTTAATATATATAATAAAAGTTCACAAAAAAAAATTTAAAAAACTTTTTTTTTACCTACCAGGGAACTCATTTTTTTAGGAAGAAGTCAGATTGTATAAATTTACAAATTAAAAAAAGTCATATCTCAGCAAGTTTAGTTCAATTTTGATGTTCTTTGTGTCTAACAAATAATAAAAAAATGGTAACATGATTGGCGTTGAAAAATTGAGTTTATATCAGAGCTGATGACATCAAAAGATTTGGGGGACACATGCCCACTCCTCCCACATTTTCTATTGAGGACTTTTTTTTTTCAATAAATGATTTAGAGTTTTTAGATATGGAGGACCTTTTTTAGTAGTTGATGGTTGTGCCCCCGCCCCCAACTTTGTAAAACTGCGTCGTCGGCCCTGCATATTTAGAAATGCAAAGTTCTGAAAAGTTGTAGGTTATTTTAAATAGTTATTTTCTACATTTATTGCATTGTACAGAAGTGTACATTATTGTCTTCGTTTATTACACTAGTACAAAAGTGTACTTTGCGCACACTTCTGTACTAATGTTCTCTTCTGTATGCACTCTGGAAAGAATAAAATACATCACATTCTCAAATACTTTTGTATTTAAACATATGCTTTTATTCATACTAGCAATCAATAAAAATGGAAATAAATTACTTCCGTACGGTGCATTCATGTACCTCATACATGAATAAGTTTCCTGTGGCAATAATCAAGATACTTTTGTTACAGAAAATAGAAATAGCCTGGAATAAGTTTAGTAATATTTCTAGAGAAAAAGCAGCCCAAAAAATTGTTTCTACCTAGGAAAACAAACTAGATTAATTGCATGGCATTACATCTTGTAAATGTGATCACTTTATGTATTGAAAAATGCTCAAAATTAAATGGTTGTCTAGATTTTGCACGTATTCAGTGTACCTGCCCGAGGGAAAAAGTGAACTTATTTGGTTAAAAGCTGAAAGAGAAAAAAAACAGGGTCACTATCAAAATATCAAATGACTTGTAAAGATATTAAGGAAATAGCTGGACAGGTTACTTTAGAAAAGAAGGAGCTGAAAAGAAAGTCAAGTCTAGAAAAAAAAATTAGAAAAAAAGAAGAGGAAGAAACTTCATAGAGTAAAGATCTTGTTGAGTCTTTTATAAACGATGATCAAACAGAATAAAAATGGATGATGAACCTGCTTTAACTGATAACTGGAAACTGAATTTTATGTCTATTAGTAATACTGCTGAAGCTTCTTTGAGATTTGATATTTCACCAGCTTCAACATCAGCAGTATTTTCAGCTTTTCTTCAAGACCTTATTCTGAGTAACTTTTTAACACCTGAAATGTCCTATTTGGTTGTAGATTGTAAGAAAGTTGTTAGAGCACAGCAAACAGGAATGGCTAAAGCAAAGACATCTGAAGAAATGAAGATTCAAGTACAACATATCAAATGTATATTTGCTGATGGCAGAAAAGATTTTACCAGAGTTTTAAGGCACAACCCTGTAACAAAACGATTTCATCAAAGGGTTATGAAAGAAGAACACATTAGTGTTCTTCTTTCAGAGCCTGACGATTGCTATATTATATATTTTATACTCATGAAGCAATACCTCCCAATAAGCCTGCTAAATAAGCAACTATTGGACTATTTAATTGTCCAATAGTTTGTTCCTCAGGGAGTACATAAATCTCTAGAAATAATAGGAGGAGAATCAACAAACGCTGTAACTGGTTCAGGAAAAGATGGAGGTTTGTTGAAAAATCTTGAACAATTGTTGGATACAAAGTGTTTCTGGTCTATTTTTATGCTACATTGCAATGAGCTTCCTTTGCGGCACATTATTGTCACTTTGGATGGACCCACCAATTCAAATGTTAGTTTGACTGGACCAATTGGAAAAGCTCTTTCAAAAGTGAACAGTATGGAAAGACTTGATACATTTGAACCTATTGTGCAGTTAGAACCATTAATCTAGATCCTTGAAAAAATTCTAAGTTCAATGTCAACAGATTCATCTCTCTTCTATAAAATATTACATTTTTGACTACAGTCAAGAAGGACCCAAATCTGAAAAAGGCTAAGTGCGGCAATCTTTCCCATAGCAGATGGCTTACTACTGAAGCAACTATTATTTTTCTCTATATGAGTGACCATGGCTTTACTTTGATGTGCTAAGAAGATTTCACTTAGTTTTAAAATGGGTAGTTCAAGTGTATTTTCACTTGTGGCATAAAATCAAAGCAAAACATTTTATTGTTGAGGCCCCAGAACACATAGTAACACTGTTAAGACTGCTGAGAAAACAGGAGGATGAGATAAAAGAAATTTTTAATCCGTACATAAAATATGGAGCTTATTTTGCTCATTCTGAATCTTTGATTCTTTTCCTTAATGCATGCTTCGATAAGGAATCTAGGTGGTTTGTCATTCAAACCATCAAAGAGATACGGAAAGGTTTGGAGTATGGAGACACTCGATTCAGGCCAAGGAAGAAGGTCCAAACCTGCATTTACTTGTCAAATACCTACAAAAGATCTTGACTATTTCTTAGACACCTTTTGAAGCACCTTACTTTCCCCTACACATAGTCTTGTGAAAGAGCAGTAAAAAAAGTGACAGATGCATATGCATCTGTTTGTGGATTTGATAGAAGAGATGGATTTGTCAGGGCCAGGATGGCTCATAGACTATTAATGCCTAAGCTGCACTCTAAAAAAGATTTACAAAACATTTTTTTATAAGACACTTGAATTTGATTATTTATACTGTAAATATATGCTTCAAAATGAATATGCAACTTTGCCAAGCAAATACTTATTCTTAATGTCATTTGTTTTTCTCTTTTTCATATCTGTTTAGACATAAATAAAATAAAAATCAGACTGGAATTTATTTATTTTTGAGATGTTAATTTTACGATGTGACATATTAAAACACAAATTTTATTATTACTTAATATTACTTGAAATTTCTAAAAAAAAAAAGAAAAAGAAAAAAAGAGCCTGGTCACAGGCCCCAGGGCTTGCAGCCATCGCCAGCCCTAGTTTGATCTTAGTTTTTAGACGCCAATCATTCCCCCAGTTTTTTTCATGTGTTATACACAAATAACATTAAAATTAGACTGAAATTCACTGACATATAAATTTTTTTAATTTGGAAATTTTATGATTTGACAGAAAAAACTTTAAAATTTTTTTTTTGAATTTTTAGTTTCTTTGCTCATTTTTGTTTATATATATATATATATATATATATATATATATATATATATATATATATAAATATATATATATATATAAATATATATATATAAATAAATATAAATATATATAAATATATATATATATATATATATATATATATATATATATATATATATATACATATACATATATATATATATATATATATATATATATATATATATATATATATATATATATATATATATATATATATAAATAAATATATATATATATATATATAAATATATATATATATATAAATATATATATATAAATATATATATATATATATATATATAAATATATATATATATAAATATATATATATATATATAAATATATATATATATAAATATATATATATATATATATATATATATACATATATATATATATATATATATATATATATATATATATATATATATATATATATATATATATATATATACATATATATATATATATATATATACACATACATACATATATATATATATATATATATATATATATATATATATATATATATATATATATATATATATAGCATCCTAGTTGGCGACTTTCGGGGACATGTTACTTTTGTTCCGGTTCTGTTGTTTTTTTTTACTTTTTTTATACTATTTTTATCATATTTATATAATTTTTTTTATATTTCATAATTATATATTTTTAATTTTTATTTTATTTATATTTTTATTTATACATATTTAAATTTATTATTTTATTATAACAATATATTTTTTATATTATTTTTGTTATTTTTATTTATTTATTTTATATTATATTTCATTTTTAACATCTATTTACTAAAACGATTAATTACAATATAACCAAATTTAAACCTTGTCATAACCCTAACCCTAAGCCAAACCCTCAGTTGACGCAGCATCACTCCCTTGCGAGTCAGGCTATTTGTCAGTCGATGTATGTACTTTTCGTTCTCTATAAAAGTTTCTTACTTGTACATTTTTTTACAAAAAAAATCATGCTTTCGTGTACAAAAAATCAACGGGTACACCAAAATGTCCCTGTAAGTGTTCGTTTTTTGTAAAACCTGTCCCAGTAAGTGCAACTACACAAATATACATATATATTAAACTACACAAATATACATATATATCAAACTACACAAATATATATATATATTTTTATATATATTTATTTATTTTATATATATATATATATATATATATATATATATATATATATATATATATATATATATATATATATATATATATATATATATATTAATAACAAATAAAAGCAACATTTTATAAAGAAATTTTAACTTAATTTTTAATAGAAAATAATTAAATAAAAACATATACCCTATTATCAATAGACAACAGTTGCAATTTACCACCATTATCTGTTAAAAAAATCAGCTTGTCTGCCAAAACAACCATTCGAGTATCTAAAAAAAACCTAATTATTATATGTCATAACTCATTTAAATATTATTTATCTTCATATGTTAATATGATTTCAAAAAAAATTAATTCATCCCCTCCCCCCAAGACCACGAACCTTGATTAACAAGGTCGCTGCGAGGAAAAACAAGTTGAGCGCAATACTACCAGGGACACGGTAGGGGATCGACCTCAGGACATCTTGCTTATAAGGCAAGTACTCCACCACATCAGATAAAAATAAATCATTATAAAAATGTAAAATTAAACTTTTTTCACTCACCATAATTTTTGCTTTTGCCTCGTAAGACACACTTTTTGTCATACATAAGTCTACTGCGTCTTGTAAATAACTTATTTGCATAAAAAGTAGACTTTCCCCCATCCATTTTTTTAATTTCAACTACACTTCTTTTATCAACACTCTTCCTAAGAACTTCTAAAACCTGAAAAACATTGAACCAATAAAAGTTTAGTGGAACATTTTAGTTTTATACAATACTCTTTAGAGTATACATAACCCTGGCTTGTTCCTTAAAATATACATAACCCCGGCTTGTTCCTTAAAGTATACATATCCCTGGCTTGTTTCTTAAAGTATCCCTGGATTGTTCTTTAATTATTTAGAAAAATAGTGTTTATGATTTTACTTGATTCTTCAACACTTCAACTTCTTAAATTTAACTATACTATTCAAAGTAAATTTATTTGTTGAGTGGGGAGGGTAATTTGGATATAATGAAATTCAAGGAGACAAAAACTAAGTAAAACAGGGTCAGTATTTTTTCCTAACAAATGAATGGTTTGTCACATGTACTTTAACTTACTAGAAGAAACTTTGAAACTGAATATTTTGTAAATGAACTTATATCGTAAACTGATTATAAAATTAACCTAAAATGAAGTCAACAAACCAAGTTTGTTCACACCATAACAGAAAAAAAGATTTTTTTTTTTTAAAACTAGTCCTAGTTTCTTTGAAGCAAATCAATTGGGTTAAATAAACTGTCTGTTGAAGCAAATCAATTGGGTTAAACAAACTGTCTGTTGAAGCAAATCAATTGGGTTAAAAAAACTGTCTGTTGAAGCAAATCAATTGGGTTAAACAAACTGTCTGTTGAAGCAAATCAAAAGGGTTAAATAAACTGTCTGTTGAAGCAAATCAATTGGGTTAAACAAACTGTCTGTTGAAGCAAATCAAAAGGGTTAAATAAACTGTCTGTTGAAGCAAATCAAAAGGGTTAAATAAACTGTCTGTTGAAGCAAATCAATTGGGTTAAACAAACTGTCTGGCAAAAAAAAAAAATTATAAAATTTTGTAGCTTATAACAACCTCAACTTATTAATTAATAAAACCTTTAAAAATAAAGTTTCTCCTACATATTATATCCTACATACTTAATTATACTTTTCACATATACAAATAAAGATATACATCTCACAATAAAGATACACACCTTCACATTTAAAAATGTTTGTATATACTATCTCATATTTGTTGAATAAATTTTTACTAAAAAAACAAACAAATAAACAAAAAAGGTACCTTTTGCTGTTCATATGCATTAACACTTTCATCAACTGCAACAAGAAACTCCTTTAAAAAGAAAGAAAATAACAAAATATTTTTAATAATCTGTTAAAAATGTTTCTTGATTATTTACTTTATCAGTATGCTTGTTAATCAATTGGCTGGTTTATTTGATATACTCAATTGGCCTAGTTTATTTGATATACTGAAATTTCTTATTTGGCTACTTCATTTGATAGAATTTTGCTTAGCAGTTGTCTAAATGCATGCCTTATATGAAAAGATTTAGTTAAGCATAATAGAATGACTTAATCCTAATTAAAAGACATTTTTGCTCGCAAATACATAAAAATAGTATGCAAAACTTAATTTGAGCACAGATGTAACAAGTTTTGATACTCGACAAATGATTGACAGAAATATTATCAAAAATTTTAACTTTGAAAATAACAAAATAAATATTTGTTTACTGGTGCCCAGACATTTTTAAAATGTTAATAGATGTTTTAAAAATGTTTATTGACTTTACTTTGAACAAAAAACAGAGGAATCAAGTCTTGAAGCCTACAACTTTTTAGCCTGGAGTCTAGGGTCATTTTATATAACGTTCAAAATTCATAAGTTTCTGTACCCCAAATAACCTGATTTTTTTTGCCCAAAGTAGTCCTAAAGTTTACTAAAAATCAAAATTCTTAATTTTAAAATTTGTTATAAAAAAATATTTTTATAACAAATTTTTATATACAATAGTTTTTTTTAATATTATTTGAAAAAAATTATTAAAATACCTGCAAATTATTCTGCATTTTAAAAGTTTCCAATTTAAAAAAAAAAAATTAAACTAATAAAAGCAATCTTTAACATTTTTAGTTCGCCTGTGAACACTTGTAAACACTTGTTCTTTTTATCATGTTTATTACTTGCTAACAAAAAACAAAAAAACTTTGTCTTTACAAGGCTAATGCCTGTGCCCATCTCAATACCTGTTTAAGTCAGTTAAAGTGGGCAAAAAGTAGTCCTTCCAAAATATAAACTTTTCTTAAACAAAAAAGCTAAATACATTGTTTTTTTATTTAGATATTCAAACTTTATCAAAAGTTGCAGTAAAAATCATTTCAAAATTTAAAATTATGTGATGTGATGCCTCACATAATAAAAATCACATAACGTAATTTCAATATGGCACAAGCAATAACTAGCAATAATAATCAACCAGTTTAAAATTTTGCACATTTATTATAAAAAGTATTTCAAATTTACTAAAAATATTGTTAAATAACTTTCAGAAAAAAAATTTTTATGCATTGAGCTGATAAGATAAATCAAGTAGCATGACAACTGCATTTAAGCTCTATCGGAAGCTCATGTTCAGTTTGAAAAATTCATGATAACTCATAAATCTTGCAAAAAAAAAAAAAATTACTTTTTTTTCTTTAAATTTTATTATAAATGCTTTTTGATATTTTCTGTTTCACAATTTAAAAACCATATAGTTCAGGACTTGATAAATCTAAAGTTCAAGCAAATATATTGCAAGTTACATTTTTGACAAAATTTTGATCTTTTAATAACCCCTATAACCCCTTTTTATAACCCTAACCCCTCGCCTAACCCCTTTTTATAACCCTTATAATAACCTTAAGTAAAATTTTGTAAAAAATAAGAACTTGATTTGTTTTGCTTTTCAACTAACTCTCAACTACCCTTTTAAAGCATATTGTGTATGGATAAAAAACTTTGAGCTTGAAACAAATCTTGTTATAGAATGCAATTATAATGCTTTATATTTTTTCTATGAAGATTTTTTTTTTTTTTAAATTTACATTTATATTATTTATTTATAACATACTTGAATCAAATACTGAATGTGCAATTTTTAATATAATATAAATTAGTAATAATTTTATATTTTAAATATGGTGTAACATATAAAGTGTAATAAATTAAACAGTTTTTTAAATGGAAAAATTAGCTTGGCTACTACTGTCCTCATTACTAAAACATACTTTATATTTTATCTTAGTCGCTGGAATTTCTTTTTAATTACTTTAATTTTTCACATATTTGAATACATACTTGATACATTTGACAACAATACCTCTGTTATAAAATAAATCTGGATTTTTTTCATAACATTTATCAAATATGAAAACACAAAGAACAAAATGAACAAATTAAAGGAAGTAAGATAAAATGAACAATTTTGTTTTTCAACAAATTAAAGAAACACAATTAAAAATAAAATTAAATAACAGTATTGTGATCAATTGTTTTAATGAAACAACGATTTATATTTATATATATATATATATATACTGTTTTTTTTTAGCAACGTCGAGGAGGAGGAAGGGGGGGGGGGGATTATATTTTTGTTTTCCCCATCCCCCTTATTCTCCTCTAGTTAAACGGGTGCTGCAACAATAACTTTTAAGCATCATTTTCTTAATAATCATTTATGTTTATCTTGTTTAGTTTTATCCTATAATAAGGTGTTGATTTAAAGGCATTTTTTGAATACATGAATTAACTGGTGGACGATTTACTTTAGCTGAAAGAAAACTATTTTACCTAAGATTTTAATAAACATTTTTGTTGCATAAACCACGCTATCAGTAAATAATTATTGAAAATTGCTTTAAGTATTTTAAACAGTTATTAACTATATTTTAGTAAATTTAATTTAAAATAATAAAATTATTTTAAACAATTTTTAATCAATATTTACATTACATAATATATTTGAATTAAAAACATAAGCATTTAATAAACAAATTCGATAAGCATTTAATAAACGTATTTAATAAACTATTTAAATAAAAACATAAGCATTTAATAAACTTATTTTCAATTATTTAAAATTTAAAATTTTGATTTAAATATTAGTAAAATTGTTCATTTAACTTTTACTAAAGGTTATAATTTTTAAAGTGATTTAAAGGTGCCTTTTAAATTAAAGATAATTAAAGAGATAATTACAGTTAACATAGTTTAAAATTTTAATATATATTATATTAAAATTTATAATTTTGATTAAAAACCATATTATATTTTTAAAAACATTTAAAACAAAATATATTTTTAATTATTAAGAATAATTTAAAAAATTACATTTGAATAAATAAATTACATTTACTATGGGTTATTTTAAAAAGATCTAAATTAAACTTTTATTAAGATATTAACACCTTTTTTTTTAATTATTTTAAAAAGAATATTGAAAGGAAAAAATCTGTCTAAAAAAGATTATACTTCATTTTTTACTTTTCCTTACGTAAACTAAAATAGCAAGTTTGCGAGATAGTTATAAGGACTGATTTTTTTTACTTTTGTTCATTTATTATTAAAAGCAGTTTACTTTAATTGCCAAAAAGAAAAATTAACCTTACGCTGAATGGATATTTAAAATTGCTTTAACTTTTAAAAAAGCAAATCTTATATACATTCAATAGTTATAAAATTTTGCAACGTGGTTTTAAAATTAAGTTTTTTTAACGACTTTCATATTTTTAAAAGTTATGTCCAGTTAATAACTGAAGGCAAATTACTCACGTAATTATATAAAAAAGCAATTTCTTTTTAATTCTTTTTATTTTCCTGAAGAAAAAATGAGGAAGCTAAATTAAACTGAGAATTATTTATATACTACTGCATTTGAAACTAAATTTTTTTTTCTTTTTTATAAAAAATCAAAAAAAAAAAAAAAAAAAATTAAAAATAAAGATAATTTTTGGGCACCCATACCGGTAAAACGGTACTAAAACACGCCTGTTTTAGTACCGTTTTACCGGTATGGGCGCCCAAAACATATACATATACATATATATATATATATATATATATATATATATATATATATATATATATATATATATATATATATATATATATATATATATATATATATGTATATGTTTATATACATATACATATACATATATATATATATATATATATATATATATATATATATATATATATATATATATATACACATAGTAATAGGAAAAAAATAACACAATAAAAAAATATAAATATATAAAACCAACCTTTGATAAATTAAGTGCAGTTTTTAAAGTGTCATAACCAGGTTTTGATTCTAAACAAAATTAAAAAATTAAAAAAAAAAACAACTAAAATAACGCAATGAAAAGACACCAATCCAATAATTTCAAAAATACGCACACACAAAAAAGTATTATTATATTTATAAATATTATTATTATATAATAATAAACCTTTTGTTGCTTTCATAATTGCTTCAATGAGAAGAGGATACTTTGTTATGCGTATCGTCACATATGTAATACATTCTGGAATAGACAGTCGGCGTGTTCTTTTATTAAGCATGCAGCTCTAAGAATAAATAGTCAGTCATGTAAAACAATAAAATTGCTGGTTTATAATAAAATGGTTGTATGTTGCTTTAATAAAACATAAAAATGACTTTTAATTTTATTTAAATTACATCAATTTATATTATATAAATGATAATTATGTGTAATAATAAAACATTAGTTGCAAACAAAATATAAACTCTCACAATTATCGAATTATAACTTTCAACAATCAGATGTAGTTGTGCCAAAAAAAGGGGATGTATTGCAGCTATTTTTTCCATTTCTAGCTGAAACAGAGTTCTACATATTCAAACCAAAATTCTGCTAAAATTAACTAAAATCTAGCTAGAATGATTTGAAATTTTAGTTAAAGAAGGCTAAAGATGACACCTTAATGAAAAAGCTTTGTATCCAGGATACCAAGTAAAATGTGACTAAATACTTTCTTGCAAAAATCTTTAAAACAAATCAGATTTTATAGATAGTAATAACAAGATTTTTGCAAAAAGTCTTGATATTGGTCTATGAAACTTTAAAAATCTTCCACTTAATATCTTATGTTTTCTAAAATGTTTTTTTTTAAACATCCAACTTGTTATCTTATGTTTTCTTTGATGCACTTATGTTTTCTTAAATGTTTTTTTTTTTAAAGTGATTTTTCTTCAAAAAATCATTTATCAATTATTAAATCTATACACAACTTTTCTGTCTTTATATGGAATTATTGCCTTTACAAATCCTTTTTTTCAATGCACAATTTTAATATTGTGAAATTCTATCCAATCAAAAACCTGAATTATATTACCTCAATTGTTATTCTTGATTCCTATTTAAAAAAAAAAGACCATTTTTGGAAAAAATACTCAATGATAAACATGGTTTTCACCATAGTTTCCTCTATAGTTCCACTCATCAAATTTTGACATGTGTTGCTTAGTAAATTTCTTGAGAGCTGGCACAGTTACCTCAAACTTTTGAACTCTCCATAAGTATAATTTCCTTTTTTTATCTGTCACTCTACATCTATCCTCTTTACCATCACTCTACAACTATACTTTTTATATTTCTTAACTGTTAAAATTAATTTTTAATTCTAAGTCTTTAAATATATATTAGTTTCTTGAAGTCTTGAAGTAGCTTATCTTTAAAAAACGTTGAAACCAATTTTTTAAGGTCAAATGATTAATAACCAATAGGAATGTGTTATATGTGAAATTAATATGAACACAATAACAACAAGTAAACATGTATGTGTAATTATGTATTTAAATAAATTAAACAACGCACAGTGGGGCAGAAATGCTTCAAAACTAGATATTTGACGAAAACGAAAAAAAGCGTTATGAAACATTTTTGGTGGTAATGTACAAAAGAGTCTCTGGTCCATCTTATCATCGTGTTTTTTAAGGGTAGGGCTGACCTTTAACCCTGTAGAACCCATAATTTAGCTCAATTCTTTTATTTAAAAAATAACTTGTTTTTATAGTGTTAAAGCTCAAGTTTGTTAAAAATTCCAAATTTTTTTCAGGGATTCTTCAATTTTAGGTTTGCCGCTATCTTTCGGTAATGAAAAAATAATTTTAAAGTGCTTAAAATATACATTAATAGGTCTTTAAATAAAAGTGCATTTAAAATATTTTTTTTAACTTTTTTTTAAAAATGCGCTATTTGTTGATGTCCACACTTAAATAGAAATTTTTTTTAAAAAGAAATTGCTGAAGATTACAGATTATAAAACCTTTTTTTTTTAATTTTTGCACTTATTTGCGCCATTTGTGTGTATTAGTGGAAATGCGTCAATTAGATCAGTAGAAACCAGGTAACAAAAACAAGGTAACAAAAACTAGGTCATGAATGCTTGAACTAATGACATTCTTTTTTCTTTTTTTTTTAAAGATTTGTTTTGAGCAAACTTAAACAAATAAAACTTATCAAGTTTTGAGTAGCTTTTTTTGAGGGACTTTTACATTAAATTCGAATTACTGCAATTTATTTTAGTGAATCCATTAGAATATATTTTTATATTATTTATTTATGCAAGCTTTTGATTTTTCTTTTTTAAACTATCACTTACCGGTTTTTAAAAAAAACTTTACTCAAAATTACTCGAAAATACAATAAAAATGTCTGACAATTGTAAATAAATGTTTAAAAAACTATGGATTAACTTTTCTTAAGTCTAACAAGTACCCTTAAAATAATTATTTAACTTAATCCAAAACAAAAAAAAAAATTAACTTTGTCTAGTTTTAAAGCTGTTCTGCCCCACTGTGCAATGTATAATCATGTAATGAAATGCTCACCCTCATATATGCTGCAAAAATTCTATCATTTTTAAGTATTTCCTTATATGTTGACAATGCTTCAGCATGATGGCTGCAAAAATAACCATAGGTCTTTTTTAGCATTTCACTATTTTCTTCACCAAACTAAGTAAATTCAATTTAAAATTACAATAAATTATTACTTTGCAAATAAAATAAAAACAATATTATAAATTAAGCAAAATCTAACAAAGATATTAAATTCTCACAAAATCAATGAGAATATCTCCTATATTCTCAATGCAGTAATTTGGACTACTTTGTTGTCTCTCTTTTAACTTGTTCAAGAAACTACCTGAAAAAGATATAAAATAGAGTTTTTAAATAACAGGACAAAAAATATGAATATGATGAAGCATAAATGTGAAGATATCTATAGGGGCACCATTTAATTCGATGAGCTCATTAAGACCAGGGAATATTGAGTCAACCACACTATGATCCATCTTTAATACCTCTGTCATTCCATGAGCATAAATCTATGTCAAACAATTAAAATTATTAAAAAAATGTAATGATCATTGAAACAAATAAAAAAACAACAAAAGAAACCCAACAATTTATTGAAGCAACCTTTCTCATGATGTAAAGCACACGAACATAAACAGCTTCTGTTTGAATTAGCTCTAAATCAATAAAATTACATATATTAACATAAGTTGTCAAATAATGCGTTAATTACATTATAATTTTGTTTATTGTAATTCCCGCTAATTTTCTTTAGAGAGAATTTCATTATGTTTTTGAGTGAACAGAGTAAAAAAAAAAAATTCTTTTAAAGAGTGCTGTTGTTACATTTTTTTAAAGTAAGTTTTAACATATACTTCCATTGCCACAAGTTAAATTTAAAAATTAAAACAATTTTTAAAATTTAAAAGTAACATTAACATTATCAAATGTTGTATAAAATATTATTTCATCAAAATGTTCAACATTACTTTTAAAGAATCCTTTTTCATCCTTATCATCATCTTTTTCATCTTTTTCACTTATTGTATCAAAAGTCAAATACAAAAGTATGCATAACTTCAAGACAAAACTAGATTAAATCCTTAAAAAAACTTTCTAAAACAACAAACACATTTAGGAAAAGTTATTCCAATCAGTATATGAAAACATGTTAAACTGGCTTTCTTTAGGATTTGCAAAAAAAAAAAAAAAAAAAAGTTTTAAAAACAGTTAAAAAAACAACAACAGTTGTGTTCATTATTTAACCCCCTGTGTTTTTTGAAACATAAAAAAATCAACTAATCGTTTTTAAAAGTTTATGAGATTAAAGTAATAAACTAAGATCATCTAGGTCATATTTAAAAAATCCAAAAAATAATTTGTAAAAAAAAAAAAATAAATAATAATAATTTCCCTCATATATGTCTTAATTTAACTTTAAACTTATGACTTTATCAATTTTTTCGAAACTTTTTCTCTTTTTTGTATGGGTTATGACTTAAAAAGTTTAAAAACATATATATTACAAAAATATATATTTAAACTTATATTTATGGAGGACTTTTTGGAAATCTGGAAAAACTAAAAGTTGAAAAAAATATCTGAAATTTCTGAAAGATTGGGAAAAAGATAACCCCTTAATAAACTATTTCTTATGATATATACACACACATATACATATATGTAAACATAATCGAAATCAAGTCACAGTTAGTCACTAGAGAAGAGATTATTGTAGGTTTACATAGATTACCCCAGAAAATAAACTCTTTTATAAGTACACACACACAAAAACAAATAAATAAAGCAGAATACATAATACATAAAAAGTTTCTAAGTAATAAAAAATTACCATATATAACATCTTGTCGCTTGATATCTTTGGCTTGCATTTTGCGTTGTACTTTTTTATCCACAAGCTCACTCCATGTTTCAGGTTCATCTTTAGCATCCAAATCAGAGTCATACTATAAGTCAAAAAACAATTAAAATAATTGTTTTAAATGAATCAGTTAATTTAACCCAAAGCAATATCTGATAAACATATTATGGCAACAATATACTACAGTAAATGTAATATATTTATATATATATATACATATATACACACACACAGATATATATATATATATATATATATATATATATATATATATATATATATATATATATATATATATATATATATATATATATATATGCAACATATAATATAATAAAAAATACAAACAAGCTTACTGCATTTTCTTGACAGCTAGCTACAAAAAAAATTTGTTAAAAGTAAATTCCAGATTATTAAAACTACATAAATTAATATAAATTTAAATGTAAGGTTATTTGCAAAGTTTCTATTTAAAATCAATTGATTTTTGAACTTAAATCAACTAAAGAAAAATTAATTAAAAAACTTTTTTTCATAAACAGGTACTTAATAATAAATTTAAGAATTATCAAACTTAAAGTTGAACTAGTGTAGGTACCACTAAAAAAACCTGCAAAATAAATTAGTTAATGTCTGTTTTTAAAAAATTAATTTAACTCTTCCATTATGTCATATTTAAACAAGAAAAAACCAGTTCAAACCACACAAGTGTAGAACTCTGGACATTAAATTTAAAAAAAAAAGCAACTTGAAACACTTACATGCATTAAAATCTGTGTCATCATGAATACTTGATTCATCGGATTCACTAGGAGACCTTGAACGACTCAAATTTCTACAAGCATAACAATAAGAAAAAAGTTATTTAGGAATTGAAAAAAAAAAAGAAAAAAAAAAAAAAAAAAAAAAGAACCATGAAAAATCATGAAAAACCATAAAATAACAAAATAATCATTAAAAATTTACTATTCAAATTTTGATGAAAAACGAAGAGCTTGTACAATTTATTTGCAGTAAATAAATAGTAAAATAAAATAATATGATTACAAATGGTATCAAATTTCATTTGCTTATAACTCTCTGGTGAAAGTTTTCACAATAAAACAAAATTTAATATAGTACTACATTAATTTCATTTAATTTTTTTATATTATTCAATGCTAATATAACACATTAACAATAAGCATTTGTTTAGTTTTGTTTATAAATTTGTATAAACAAGCACAGTCACAACAAACAAAGTGCTTAATATGTTTCATTCATCTAATAAAAATAGTTTTTCCTTATAATACTATACAAATATCCTAATATTTTGAATTAACTCTAAATAACAAAATTGAAACTTAAATAAATAAAATATGATAAAAACAAAACAAAAATATATTTAAAACTTTTTGCATTTTAAAATCTAATTGTATTTCATATGTGATGCAAACTTGGCTCTCATTTGTTCAAAATAATAAACTCAAAAAAAGTGAAGCAAATAGAATTAATAACAGTAATATAAATTAAAGACCAGAATTTATTTCACCTGCAATTAAATTATTTTTACCTTTATAACAGTTTTTTTTTTTAATAAAATTTTTTTTAATTAAAATTAAACAAACAAACAAAACAAAAAACACTTCAATATTTTACAACTTACAATGAAATACGACGTACAAATTTGTTTTTAGCTACGACAGCTATATTCAAGGTCTCTAATGCAAAACTAGCACTTCGAGTGCGCCTCATCAGAGGTTTTTCTGGTGAATTATCAATATTAACACTGAAGGTCCTAGTTATAGCTGGCCTCTCTTCAATAACATGCATTCTTGGAGTATAAAAAGAACTTTCCAAAACATGTTGGTAATTTTTTAGCAACAACATTTCTTTTTTCTAGTTGTGAAACATTGACATGTTTTAAATGAGAATAGAAATAATTCTTAACTGTAATTACATAAATGCTTGTAATGATGGCAGACAACATCAGAAAAATAAATATAAGATTTCCTTCAATCCTCATTGTCAAATATGATTAATTAACTTTTGAATTAAACCAACAAAAAAAAGTAAAAAAAAAAAAAAAAAATTTTCAAGCACCACTTGTCTAAAAAATCATCTGACATGAATAAAAACTTGTGAAAAAGACAAACCATCACAATAAGCAGTATTTAACTTAATAAACATTTACAAAGTTTTAGTTTAATCAAGCCAATAATTGCTCTACAGGGGTAAAAAATGAAGCTCAACAGGAGCAAAACAAACAACAGTTAAAATATTAAAACTTAAGATTATAAAAGTAATTTTTTTTAATCAAAAAAATTATTCAAAAATAAACATCATAATATAACAAACAAACATAACAAAAGTAATAATTGTAAAATATTTAAAAAAATATAACTAAACTATATGTTTAAAAAAGGAATCTAAATTATCATTAACCAAAAATGTATAATTATACAAGTAGTATTTAATAATGGAACTGATATTGTCAACTTTAACACTTTTTAAACAACATAAAGAATAAGTTTTTCCTGTCGCAATATCAAAAGCTTTTTAGTTCATTTATCATTTAATCCAAAAACTCCTCACAAAAAATTAGACAACCCAAGATTGGTTTTTAAAAATTAATTTTGTTCTAATTTTGACACAAGTATCATTTCTTTTTTTATAGATACAAACAAGTGTGTGGCTTATCTGGCTTAACTGGCTCTTTGAAGCTTCATTTGAAAAAAATTTCTATATTACTTAACTACTTCGTAACAGAGGGGATGAAAAAGTCATGGTAAAAACTTTAATAAAGACAGTGGATAATTATAATAGATCCAACAGAATATACTTTTAAAGAAGTTTTTTTTTGATAATATTAGTGACCCATTTGATGTTTAAAAAACTAGATACACTTAAAAATAATTTAATTCTAGTATTATTTTATTATATAGAACACATTTAGTGTTGTGGAGTCTGCATGTAAGATAAAATTTGGACCAACCTAATATATATATATATATATATATATATATATATATATATATATATATATATATATATATATATATATATATATAAACATACATATGCTTGCCCTTTCTATTCCAATTCAAGCAAAATCAATGACAATTTCATGTTGCATTTAAATTACAATTATTAGATTGACATACAAAATTTATAACAACTTACTGAGATTGGCTGAGTGAGATAGAGGGTATATCATTGCCACTTTCGATGTTTAAATCAATTTCTGATTCAACAGAGCTACTTCTAAATACGCACACACAAAAATATAGTAAATTAATTCATGTATGTAATATATTATATGTATATATACAATGGTGTAAACTGGATTTTTAAATGTTTGAATTTTGACACTTACAGGCATTGCGCAAACTCCAAACTTTAGTATGTTCATGCTTATGTCAAATAAGAATGTTTTGCAAAGAGTTGTGGTGATTGGAGCTTGGGGACAAAAAACCCCCACTTTTTGGGCCCACCCAGCCCTTAATGTGGCAGCAACAAGTTTATAAAATAATTTCTTTAGTATTTTTATATAAGTTTATATTCATCAACAAATTTCAAATTTCATGCAATAACCTCTTAGTGTTTAGTTTTTATGACCCTACAAAGTTTACAGCCCCCTCAAATTGAGGGAGGTTAAAACTTTATATGGTCATAATTTTCAAAAAATAAGAGATTATTGCTTGAAATTTGAAATTTGTTGATGAATATAAACTTAGATAAAAATACTGAAGAAATTATCTTATCAACTTGTTGCTCCCACGTTAAAGACTGGGTGGGCCCAAAAATTGGTTTTTTTTGTCCTTAAGCTCCAATCACCGCAACTCTTTGCAAAACATTCTCATTTGACATAAGCATGAACATACAAAAGTTTAAAGTTTGCACAATGCCTGTAAGTGTCAAAACTCAAACATCTAAAAATCCAGTGTACACAGCTGATATATATACTTTGTATTATAAATAAGTAAATATATATATATATATATATATATATATATATATATATATATATATATATATATATATATATATATATATATATATATATATATATATATATATATACATAAACCCTTGCAATGTTGTCAGAAAGTTTTTCCATATTTTGTTGACAAAAAAAAAATTTAATGGAAGACCAAAAAAATTTTTTTCTTCTTTTTATTGTTTGATAGACTGCCTGCCAAAACCAAACCCTCAGTCAATGTAGCAGCACTCCTCTGCGAGTTAGGCTATTTGTCAGTCAATGTAGCAGCACTTTGTTGTGAGTCAGACTGTTTGTCAGTTGATGTAGTAGCACTCTGTTGCGAGTCATTCAAGATAGTCGGTGTAGCAATACTCCCGCATAATTTACAGTAAAAAAAGAATAAAATAAATAAAAACCTTTTTTTTTTTAAATAAAAATAAAAACATTGTTTATATCTTTAAAAATTTCTGGTCAATTAAACTTGCGTTTTTGCGGTTTTTTAAAAAAGCGATTAAATTAATGGTTTTAACTTTATGACAACACAGAAATGTTGAATGAAAGTCAAAAGTAATTGAAAGTGACGTATTTTGTTGTCAAAAGAATCATTTTTTACCTTCCATACTCTCAAAGCCAACAATTTATATATATATATATATATATATATATATATATATATATATATATATATATATATATATATATTTATTTAAGTTTATTTAAGCTAGATTAGCAAAGTTAAACAGTGTTTATGTTAATGAATTATGTCTGTATGGCAATAACGATTTATGTTATTATGCAAAAAATTTAGGGTCTCAACTTTACTAAATCAGAAAAGCTGTACAAATTGTAACACTAGCTTCTAAATTGAAATGAACATAAATTTAAAATAGAGAATGTTCTTGATATCACATTTAGCCGTTTAGAAAATTCTTATAAGCTCTACAAAAAATCTAGTAATGAATTGATGAAAAAAACAGAAAAAAAAACAAACAAAAAAAATTACTATTTCAATTAACAATAGGCTAAATTTGTATTCTTTAAGGAAAACATTTTTTTTTTTTATGTACATTTTTTAAAATGCCTCTTAAGGCATTTTAGAAAAATGTACATAAAAAAAAAAGTGCCTTTATAAAATTTTAAAAAGAAAACTATGAAAAAGAAAAATAGAACTAAAAACTTGGTTCAACACAACACAACAAAAACATAACTTGGTTCAACATAACACAACAAAAATATTCTAAGAATAGTTAAACTTTTAAAAATTAGTTAAACAAGGATTTCCTTCCAATTAGTAAACTGCACAAACTTTAGACAGAACTGTTAAAGTTAAAGCTGTACAAAATATATGCTATTAAAATATATTTCAGAAATAAAAAAGAGAAAAATATTAATTTTAAATCAAACTATTTAAACTCTAAAATCAGACTTTCAAGAAGCAATTAAATTAGGTATAGTTATATAAGGAGTTACATATTATCATGTCATACCATAAAATAGTGTATTAAAAACATGGTAAACCTTGATTTAGATGCTAGTGACAATGAATATATATATAAACAAATACAACATAAATATAAAATATATAATGAAATAAACCTAGTTTAACTAATTTAATGACATGTGTTGCACTATTATAACTTAACATATTGAAAGCTCATAAAAAGGTCTGTGATATGTACAACAATGAAGCCTAAAAACCATACTTTTATCTTTGTAAAACCTTTTTTTATTCCCTTTTCAATAAAGAAATGTTGTACTGTAATATTAAAAAATAAAAACTCATAAAAAAGACTGAGACTAAATAATAACATACAAATTGAAAAAAATAAAAACTGAAAACATTACTTTTGCGTAACAACTGGCTTTCTATCAGAACCTCTAAGTTTGTTCGATCCATCTTTAGGATTCCTCATGAACATCGCTTTATGATTTTCTGCATTGGTTTTAGAGTCTGGGGTAACCTGTTCAACAAATATAAATCATTCAACTTTTTGAATAATCAACTCAAAGTTATGCGCTTGATTACATACTTATGAAATACATACAACAATGGCCATCGGAAGATGGGTACAATGAATGTCCATCAAGCAGGTGCTATCAGCAAAAATGCAAAAAGATTTCAGCCGCTTTTTTCTATTTTCAAATTCTAGTCTAATGAATTTTATGATTTATGAGAAAAAGTTTTCAGTTTTAATACTTTTTTTTATAACACAAAAGTAGAGATGCAGTCATAAAAAGATTATTTCTTCCTGATTTTTGGTATTCAGAAGCTCTAAATATGTAAAGAAGTTTATGGACTACTTTTGGGAAAAAATTAGAACTTTTAGATTAGAGGAACAATCAATTTTTTAACCCAGAGTCTTGAGGTATAATGGTGGCAAGGACTCCAGGACTTTGGGCTTAAAATCAATAAGTTCATTAAATCTCATGGATTTTTTTCATATGGCAGATCTTAAGACAACAAACATGTTTAGAGCTTCTGGACATCAGAGACTAGGAAAAAATAGAGATCCGAAAAGTTAAAGTCCGTTTGGGACTCGGCATCTCTGCACAAAAGATCACTAAAGATCGCGCTCTAGTAAATATGGTAAGTACTCAAATCATTTTCAAATAATATTATATAAATTTCCTTTAATAAATTAGCATGTATTATAATAATGATATACTTTATATATTTTCAAAATTTCTTTTTAGAACGTGTAAATATTTTAATAGGGCAGTTTTTTATGTTTAATAGGACAGTTTTTTTTTTTTTTTTTCAAACATATACGAGTAAAATGTTTGAATAAAACAGCATAAAACTAATTAAAATAGAAACTGATATTTTATAGGTTAAAAGAATAATCAAAGGTATGGCATCATAAGAATCATAAAAAAATATTATTGTTTTTTTATTTTGAACACTTTTTTAACTAGTATTTAAAAATATATATATTCAGGCCCGGGGGAAAGCGCGTCTGAGTATATATTTTAGTACAATGGGTGTACAGTGAAGTACAATGGGTGATTTTTAATGAAGTGCCAAAGCTATGAAGCCGCCAAATTTTCATTAAATACTTATTTTTTCCTGAGAAGATAAAATTTTTTAAGAATAACTATATAAAAATTGATATACTTAAAAAATAAAAATGACTTAATGATAGAAATTACTACATAATTTAAAAAATACTATAGAATAACTATATAAAAATTTACTTATTATATATAAAATTATATATTAAATTATATTTTTACATATTAGTTATATAAAAATTGATATACTTATTTTATGTAATAATAAGTATATATTAATTTATAATAAAAACTACAATAACTCGAAAAAACTTTTTTAAATTTTTTTTTTTTTTTAATTTGCATTCACTCCCAACAAGGCTGCAAGCAACCACTATTAAGTTGGGAGTTACTAGGAAAAAAAAGAACAGAGTTATAGAGCAAGGAAACGGTTGACAGAAGACTTGAAAAGTTGAAGGTTGTATGAGTCAGGAAAACATGAAGATGGGAGAGAGTTCCAAAGAATTGAAGTGCGGGGAAAAAAACTAGATGAACAAAAGTTTCTAGAGCATGCAGGGACAGATACAGTAAACGAATGAGATTTAGCTGAATGACGAGTAAAACGAGAATGAATTTTAGTTGATGGAACTAGAGATGATAACTCCTTTGAGCAGTGACCATGATAGTATTTGTAGAAAAGAGAAAGAGATGCAACTTTACGACGATGAGAAAGAGGTTCAAGCTTAGCAGATAGTCCAGGTCCAACAACATTTACAATGCGTTTTTGGACCTTGTCAAGAAGAGAAAGTGAATCGTTAGAAGAACCAGCCCAAATATGACAACAGTATTCCATACAAGGACGAATAAGAGATTTGTAGAGGTAGAGAATGGAATCAGAAGTAAGGAAATGGCGAGCACAATAAAGAGAAGCAACCTTAGCAGAAGTTAATTTAGCAATCAATTGTATATATGGTTTCCATGAAAGGTCAGTAGTAAGCGATAATCCAAGAAGACCTTGGGGAACCCCAGAAGTTACTAGAAATAAAGAAGAGTGTTGGCCTTCAAGGATGACTTTAATAAACCGGTTAGAAAGAAATGATTTGATAATCTCAAAAACTTTCCCAGAAACACCATATGAAGCAAGCTTATGGAGAAGACCAGCATGCCAAACTTTGTCGAAAGCTTTAGATATGTCGAGAGCAATAGCCCTAGCCTCACCGCCTCCATCTAATGCACGATAAAATCTTTCAGTTACAGCAGTTAGCGAGTCGGCCGTAGAGCGAGAGGATTGAAAACCGTATTGATTGTCTGACAGTAGTTTATTTGACTCAAGATGAGATGTGAGGAATTTGTTGATCAAAGACTCTTAAAGTTATTTAGTGTACATTAGTGTCCAATTTTATTTTTATAATTTAGAAATTTAATTTTATAATTAAGAACAAATTATGTAGAGGGCAGCCAAAAGGGAAGGGCATACGTACCTTGGTCGTCAAAGTATTAGGGGCGCCAGAAGATAAAAAAAAAAAAAATCATGAGATTTTAATTACAAAAAAATTTTTTTTTTTTATAAAAATTTTTTATTGATGAGACATGTTTATATTAACAAAGAATTATAGTTTCAAATAATATATTTCTTTGATAAATTGTTTAAGAAATAAATTATTTGAAACTATAAGATAACCATCAGGTTTTTTCGCAAAGAATTGCTGTTAAAGAAATTAAAAGGTTGCGTTTACGCTTTCATAATAAAGTCAGCATATAATTAATTAAAAATGATTCACCTAAAACCCCAACTAACTAAATATTATAAAGAACATCAACATTATTTAAAAAACCATCTTGTAAACCATTAGAATAAATTAGCGCATGATATATATATATATATATATATATATATATATATATATATATATATATATATATATATATATATATACATATATTTTATTTATTATTCTGGCTGGGAATACAAATAAAAATAAGAGAAGACAGACATAATAGGAAATCAATTGAAACAATTGTTAAACCACAATTTAAAAGCGCTTTAAAAAAACTCTGTTGATCATATTGAAATTAGTTCAGCAATGGAACCAGCAATTGAATTAGTTGCAAAATTGTTTTAATGATATTTTTTATTAGTAATTAGCCACAAGCAGGAAAAAAAAACTCAGCAAATTAAAGATGCAAACACTTCTTTTCCCTTTTAAACATTATTTACATTTTAATGATTTAAATTTTATAAAAATATGAAAATAAACAAAAAACAAAAAAAAAAATTTAAATTTTTAAGATACATTAACTGCATAACTGTTGGACATCATCAGCAAAAAAAGATTACAGTTTTAAAGATTTGAATCATTTAAGCATATATAGATAAAAATGGTGAAAATAATTCTCAGACAATTGTTAATTTATTTAAAAAAATCTGAGATTTTATTATTTTTGTTCAGGGATGTGGAGTCCCAAAAAGGACCCACGTCCCTGAACAATAATGGGGAAAAAACTAAGACTTATAAGTGAGAGGAACAATCAATTTTTGACCCCGGAATACTTAGGTATAGTGGCGGCAAGGACTCTGGAACTCCGGGTTTAAAAACAATTAGTTTCAAGTCATTAAATCTCATGAATTTTTTTCTTATAACAGATCATAAGTCGACCAACATGTTTGGAGCTTCTGTACACCAGAGACCAGGAAAAAATAGAGGTATAAAGCCAGAGTTCTTCTGGGACCCGCATCCCTGAATATTTAGTTTGGCTCTTATTATATTGACTTGAAATTCTCTTTTTAACAATTGATAACATATTTCACTAACTATAAAAAGATACAAGAAGTTATTAACAATTTAAATGGTCCTGGAAATGAATGAAACAGAAAAATTAACTACAGATTGGAGAACCGATGAATGAATTAATAAACAAAAGCCTACAAACGAAATAAAGCATTGGAACAAGGTCTTAAGAACAGTGGCGTAGGAACAGGGTGGGTGGGCGGAGGGGGCAATAACCCCCCTAATTAAAACACTAGGGGAGGGGGGGGCGGACACTTCATTTAGCCCCATCATTTCCTAAACAGTTTAATAAAATTTTTTAATGATATCAACAGCGGAATTATTATTTTCCAGTCTGCAATGACTCAATCACAATTAAACATCTCCATGGAAAAGTATATCCATAAAACTGTTTAAGATACTATCGCATACTAACTGTTTTCTGAATGAATGTGTGCTGGCTAAAGATGACTACAGTTTTTCATGGAGTCATTGCGCTGAAAAACATGTTGTATAAAAGGTAGTTATAGTAAAACATACATGTTACTTTTTATAACCCTTTACAATTTTAAAAACAGACTAGACTAAATTTTAAAAACAGAAGTAAAATCTTGCTTATAAAGAATATGCTTAAAGTTTATTAATCTTGATATTATTTAAATCAATGCAATAGAACATTCGAAATGCGAAAGAACATAATACAATTTTAAAATACAATAGAACGTAAAGTTATAAAAAAAAAAAAAATTGTAGTCTATTGATAACGTTTTTATCTAGTTTTTTTATGTTCATACAATTTTTAAAATTGTTATTTTGTAACTACCTTGTCTCAGCTTGACTAAATGAAAAGTTATTTAATTCAAATATAAATTATTAAATTACAGTATTTATATTATCTTATCAATCCGATTAACAATGACTTTGAAGCATAGGCGAGTCGAGGATTTTTACCAACCGAAACTTACCGCATTAAGTGTTAGCCTAACGTGAGTACATCTATTTCCGTTACACAAACTCTACTGTAGTTAAAAAAACCATTAAAAAAAAATCAAAAACAACACCTAATATTTAGCTTTAAAATTTACAATGTAACTTTTTTTTTTTACTTACAGACAGGAGTCAAAAGATGCTGATACCCCACAGATGGAGGCATCCTCCAGTCACAGTCAGAAAAATGCAGAAATCTGTACTAATCAAGAAAG